CTCCCCATCCCAACGAGACCCCGAGTCGCCACCCACAAATGGCCTCTCTGGCTCCTGATCAAGCCATTTAATGGCCATGATCCCAGAGACTCAGAAACAAATCCTGAAACCCAGAGCCTTTTGGCAGAAATGTGTCTGGTCCTTGCAGTAGGTTACAGGCGCTGGGCCAACCCAGGTGGGAATAGGTTTCGTGCCTTGGCCTCTTCCCCCAGGTTGCCTGGTGGCTGCCATCCTCCAAAGGCCACTGGACAGTCTGGTTTGAGACCGCAGTGATGAGACACATGGGGCCTCACTGGATGGGGTGGAGCCTGCCCTTTCCTCCCCACCCCAACGAGACCCCGAGTTGCCGCCCAAAAACGGCCTTTCTGGTTCTTGATCAAGCTTCTTAATGGCCATGATCCCAGAGACTCAGAAACAAATCTCGGAACCCAGCAGGTGTTAGCAGAAATCCCTACAAATTTAAGTGTTAAAATTTCAGAATTTCAAAATTGCGTGGCCACTACTGCAGCCACATGGCATCATATATTATTCATAACCAGCAATAGAAAAAAACTTGTCAGGGCTGGAGCGATAGCACCGCAGGTAGGGTGTTTGCCTTGCACGCGGCCGACCCAGGTTTGATTCCCAGCATCCCATATGGTCCCCTGAGCACCACCAGGAGTAATCCCTGAGTTTAGAGCCAGGAGTAACCCCTGTGCATCACCAGGGGTGACCCAAAAAGCAAAAATAAATAAATAAATAAATAAAATCTTCCTTTAAAATAAAAAAAAAAAACTTGTCTACTGTTGCCTTTTCAGCAGATCTGAGTGTTGGGGTAAAATCCCAAATAATAATGGTGTGTCTGGTGTCAAAATATTGAATGTAATTAAAGTAGAGAGAGAGTAATGTGGAAGTTATCTATCCCACAGATAGGGGGAGGTTGTGGTATGGTGGCAAACTGGGGTTTTTGGTAGTGGACAATGGTCGCTGGTGAAGGTATGGGTGTTTCATTGTATGACCGAGACTTAAATCTGAATGAAAGCTTTGTAACTGCTCTCAAGGTGATTCAATAAATAAAGTTATAAAAAAATTTTAAAAAAGTAAGGTGGAGTTCATGGCCAATTCAGTCAGCTAATTAGTGGCTGACTAAATAGCAGTACTCCTACATTTAAAAAAATAAGTAAATAAAGCACTGTCACTGTCCTCCTGTTGTTTATCGATTTTCTCGAGCGGGCCCAGTAACATCTCCATCGTGAGACTTTGTTGTTACTGTGTTTGGCATATCAAATACATCATGGGTAGCTTGCCAGACTTTGCCGTGTGGGCGAGATACTCTCGGTAGCTTGCCAGGCTCTCTGAGAGGGACGGAGGAATCGAACTCGGGTCAGCCATGTTGGCTGCATGCAAGGCAAACTCCTTACCTGCTGTACTATTGCTCCAGCCCAAATAAATAAATAAATAAAAGTTTAAAAAAAAACATGTTGCAGGCAGCACTGATGGCGCACACTAATCCACGTGAGATATGATGGTGGAGATGCCCTGTCAGCAGCGAGTAGCCTAAGCTGACACCCCATGGTAGAAACCCAGGCACCTCCCCAACTTCGGAATCCATGCTTTGTGGTAGTGCCAATTTGAACCCAAAGAACTCTATTCACTGAAAACTTCTGCCACCACTGTGGCTAGCTGCCCATAGCATGAAGAGCTGTGGTAGCTCCATCAGCTTCAGAGCCCATGTGGGCATCTCTTCCATCTTGGCAAGTCCCCACTCCAACCGGTGTTCTGCCCCAGGTGCCAGTTTGGTTATATTTAAATGCACTCTTTTTAAAAATATTAAAAGGTAGTTACAGTCATGTATGCAGAATTTTTTGACCCCTTCAGCCCCGTTGTTCCGAGGGCTGAGAGCTGCTACCTTCCTGCCAGCTTTTATACCTGCTTTTGCAATACCACCATCTTCTCTCCTCATGAACCCTTTTTGCTGTGAAACCCTAAATTTAGTATTCCTAAAAGTGCAAGATCCCCTTTCTCGTTCTCTGAGATTCTACCATACTTTTACTTTTTTTCTATTTTCAATAAATATTAGACCTGAGAACCTTTAGATCTCTCTACTTTTCCATTCAAGAGCTGGTTCTAGAGTACTTCTTTTAAAAGTATATGATGATACCACTGACTCAAGATATCTGAACATTGTCATATTTTAGCTTTTTCTTGTTTCCTCTCTTTAGCATCCCTAATTCATATATATATATATGTATATTCTCTAGCACAGACCCATACATAAAGTAACACATATTATCCACCCTAGATTTTTTTTCATCAGCTATATCAGTTCATAGTTGATTATCAACCTTAGTAGCAAATTCCTAGCAATTGACATCTTCAGAATACAAAATCTTTTTTTTTAAATTTTTATTAGTGAAACACCATGAGGTACAGTTGTAGACTTACAAATTTTTGTGCTTGGATTTCCATTATATAGTGATCGAGTACCCATCCCTCCACCAGTGCCCATTTTCCACCACCATTGATCCCAGTATCCCTCCCACCCCCTTCTCCTCCCCCCATCCCACCCTACCTCTTTGGCAGGGCATTCCCTTTTGTTATCTCTCTCCTTTTGGGTGCTGTGATTTGCAAAAGAGGCATTGGGTGGCAATCATGTTTGGTCTATAGTCTATTTTCAGCATGCATCTCACATCCTGGGAGGATCCTCACAACACCCTTTATTTAGTTCTCCCTTCTCTCTCTGAGCTTCCCTTCCCCATGGAGTGAACCTCCCCCTACTTATCTCGGCTATTCTTGGGTGTTGGTCTCCTATTTTGTTACTTTATGTTCCCCAGATGAATGCAATCTTTCTATGTCTGTCCCTCTCTTTCTGGCTCATTTTGCTTAGCATGATACATTCCTTGTAATACCACTTGTATGTAAGTTTCATGACTTCATCTTCTCTAACAGCTACATAATACTCCATTGTGAAGATGTACCAAAGTTTCTTTAACCAGTCATCTGCTCTCGGGCACTCAGGTTTTTTTCCAGATTCTGGCTATTGTGAACAGTGCTGCAATGAACAAACAAGTGCAGATGTCACTTCGACTATACTTTTTTGCCTCTCTGGGATATATTCCCAGGAGTGGTATTGCTGGGTCAAATGGGAGCTCAGTTTCTAATTTTTTAAGAATCGTCCATACTGTTTTCCAAAAGGGCTGAACCAGTTGGCATTCCCACCAGCAATGAAGGAGGGTCCCTTTATGCCACATCAGCACCAACACCGGTAGCTTTTGTTCTCCAAACTCCAATAAATATTACACCTATTTGAGCTGACCATTATACCAAAATATGCTGAATAGTGTAGTCAAATACAGTAACAGAAAACTATTCTGAACTAACTTATACTGGGCATTTTTACAAGCATTTTCAGGCACTCTGTTCATAAATTTTTATAACTTTTTATCCATAGGAAAAGTTTAGAGATACAGCAGCATTGTAAAAGAGATGATGAGACTGACGATTATCTCACAAATGTAAAATGTACCCTTTCAGGTGATGTGGTCACCTTTTTTCTTCTGCACTGTTAGCATTTGAGATGGGTAAAGATATGGAGTTGGAAGGCATTGAATGCAAATTTATTTTGCATGTAGTGACTTTTGAGATGATAGCACAGCGGGTAGGCTATTTGCCTTGCATATAGCCAACCCGGGTTCGATTCCTCCATCCCTCTTAGCGAGCCCAGCAAGGTACCGAGAATATAACGCCCACACCAGAGAGCCTGGCCACCTACCCATGATGTATTTGATATGCCAAAAACAGTAACAACAAGTCTCACAATTTGTTATGAGATGATACTGGTGTCCACTTGAGCAAATTGATGAACAACAGGACAGTGCTACAGCAGAATATGGTGGAATGCTGAAGTTATTAATAAAATCAGTGTTTAACCTTGTGTAGCTCTACTTCATCACATCACACTAGAATTTCATGAAGTCAGATCAGTGGATTTTTTTTTTTAGTTTTTTTTTTTTTGATTTGGAATCCCAGTTTCTGTAGTTCAGGCCTTGTGTTTTGATCCATCACAGTAAAAAATCTCTCTAGAGAAGACGGACTGTGAAACTATTTTTATTAAGCAATGCTACTAATTACAGGACTGTGGACTTCTCTCTAAAGTGAGAAGGGAAGACCCCAAAGTCAAAGAAGTTCATATCCTAAAGAAGGGCTCAAGGAACTCCAGAGTAAAGTACACCATAATGAAATGGGAGGATGTTGCACAGCCAGAGTAGAAACCTATGGGTAACTACAGAATGAAGTCCACTGAACTGCTTTGGGGACTGTTGTTTTACAAGCAGTCTTAATTTGGGTGAAGGCTCATTGCTAGGAAGTTATAAAGAAAGACTTTTAACTCTCCAAACTCTCTCACTGACAGTGTTTGGTTTGGGTTCTTAGCTGTCAACAAGGTACTCTTTTCAGAATGTATCTTTTTTCTTTATTTTTTTTTCTTTTTGCATCACACCCAGTGATGCTCAGGGGTTACTCTTGGCTCTGCACTCAGAAATTATTCCTGGAAGTGCTTGGGGGGTCCATATGGGGTGCTGATCAACCCAGGTCAGTCGTGTGTATTGCTCCGGCCCCCGAATGCATCTTGCGTCTAAATATTTCTAATTTTTTTTATGACTTCCTGGACTTTAAGACCAAGGGGCCCCTACCTGACTGCCTGCCACACTTACAAGAAATGTTAGCAAGGCAGTGGCTGCAGCTGATTTTTGTTTATTTGCATTCTGAGCTTGTTTTCAAGGGTACAAAAGACAAAGCCTTTAAGTTGAAAGAATAGTGGAATTGGCCTGAATTTTGCTTATTGATGCCTAATAACAGAGCAGTCTGCATTGTAGAAGATGACAGGAACCATTATATTAAAACAGATATATGTCTTTAATTTTGTCTCATTGTGTAAATCTGACAGGATTTTTTCCTTTTTTTTTTGTAGCTTAACTTTAATTGCTCCAAAATTAATTCTGATTTCTCCTTTCCTGCAGAAGGTGATGAGACTGGTGTGATGGATAATCTTCTAGAAGCCCTGCAGTCAGGTGCAGCATTCCGAGACCGTAGAAAGCGAATTGCAAGGAACTCAGGTAAAACCCTTACCAGCTCTTACATTACTACAAAATGTAAATGTTCATTGTTAATACCAAAAAAAGAAAAATAGCAGAAGTTTTCTCCATAAAGGTTTTTTTTTTCAGTTATCTCAGTTCGTAAGTTAAGTCTCAGTATTCTACATCTATGTTATCGTGTGTTTCAAGTTGGTAATAATATCTTCAATAACTATGCTTTTCAAAAAAAATCAGAAACAGGCAGGCAAGGGATAGGGGTGGTGTGTGGTGGGAGAGAACATGGGACACTGGTGCTGGAAAATGTACATTGGTGGAGGGATGGATGTTAGAATACGGTATGACTGAAATCCAATCATGAACAGATTTGTAAGGATCTATCTCAGTGATTCAATTAAAAAGTTAAAAAAAATCAGAAACAAGTACTCATGCTGCATGTAATATAAGATACTTTAAATTGTTGGTTTAAGAACATGTGATTTGAATGAAATTCATAGGTGTAATTAAATTATGAAGTAAATATTCATAAGAATGTCATATTAGGTTTCTTTTGTCTGTTTTGTACGTAAGAAGCAGATTTTTTTCTCAAAGCCATTTTAGTTTTGTCTGTATATTGAAGTATGAGATTAGTCCACACTCCATTTTCCATGTTAATAAAAAGAGAAAAGGAAAACTAATTCATGATCCCCCAAAGTACGAAAGTATTGAAACATATTTTTGTGTTTTTGATCAACACTACAACAGTTGATCTTGAGGGGAGAAAATCATAAAAGAAACAAACTTCCTCCTTTCCTGAACTGAAACTACAGAGCTGTCTACCATCTCTGATCTTACCCTATGGCTAAAGTAAATGGCAGCTCCATTCAGGGTAATCTAAGTTAAACCAAACTTTTTACCTTCTCTAAGGCAATTTTTATTTTAAGTTTACAGCGGGTAGGGCGTTCGCCTTACAAGCGGCCAACATGGCCGACTCGAGTTCGATTCCTCTACCCCTCTCGGAGAGCCCGGCAAGCTACCAAGAGTATTCGATATGCCAGACACAGTAACAACAAAGTCTCCAATGGAGACGTTACTGGGCCCGCTGAGCAAATCGACAATCAACGGGAGGGCCTTTACCTTTACCTTTACCTTAAGTAGGAAGATAAACTGAGTTTGTTAATTGTAAAAGTTTTCTCATGGGCTGTAACATTATGTGGGAAAGTAAGTTTTTTAAAAGGAAAGTAAGAGTTAATATGTTAATACTACTTAATTTTGATGGTGGGGTTGAACCATACAGGCAAGGCTCAGGGCTTACTCCTGACTGTGCACTTGAAATTATTCCTGGCAGTGCTTGGGGTGCCGTAGGGGATACTGGGGATCAAACCCAAGTTGTCCATGTGCAACACAAGCACCCTACCTCTTGTACTACCTCTTCAGCCTCAATATCAATTCATTTAAATTAATAATGTTTTCCTTGGACAGTGCAAAATCCAAACAGTATACAACGTTTGTACTGGAAATTGGTAGCTCTCAAAAACCATTGCACTTAAACCAGCAAAAGAAATGGAATCAGTGCAGATATGTTCAGGAAAGCTTTTGACAATGGTGAAATTCATGACAGAAAATGGTGCAAGTTGTATTCATCTTTCTCACAGTTTAGTGAAACCACAATGAGTAACTTAGCCTGAAGCTAATATTTAGCTGAGAAAAAGGATTTTGTTTGGAGTGTATGACTATATCATGTATACAAATACATTGAAGGTGACCTACTGAAAGATTAGAATGAAGATGGTTAAAAAAGGAAAGAGTAAGACAAAAAAGAGTACATGGGGCTGGTGAGCTAGGACAGGAGATAAAGTGCTTGCTTTGCATGTCACTGACCCCAGTTTGATCCATGGCTCACATATAGTCCCTTGAGCGCTGCTAGATATGGCCCCAAAACTGGAAAAAATAAATATGAAAGATTAGAAAGAAAATTAAATTTACATCTGTGTATTTATATTACTTTTAAAAGTGATACACATGGCAGAATGTTAGGAGCACTACTAAAATGTAACTCTGAGGCAGTAATTCCGTTTATCATTAGTCTTTATAAAATAAGCATGTTCTTCCTTGCCTCTTTTACCTTTGCTGTTAGAGAACCTTTTTACTGCTCTTTCTTCAACACCAATACATTAATAGCAGTGTGAAAGGCAAACTGAAAAAATCACTTTAGATCAATTAAGTTCTATGCTAGGCAATTGAAAAGTAAAAACGTTATTTAATAGCATAAAATAACCATGATAATCTTTCTGGAATGTTTACTTAAAAAATACGTTTTCTAAGGCCACTAAATATCTGAGTAATCTTACAATTTTTATGACTGTAGAAATGTAGTACAATGAGAGAGAAGTCATTTTATGGGATTGATATGAGATTAGTATTCAAGGGAATACAATATTTTCAACTGTGAAATACAAGGAATATATTTACAAACTGCATAATTTTATAATACCGATTCCAAGTAATCAAAATCAAGTTCTCCTTTGGTTTGTAGCTGGAGTATCTCCATGAATACATAGTGTCAAAAATATCAGCCCATTAAGCCCTTGCAGTTATTTCAAGTGGCAGCAGCCAATGCAAATGTCCACAGGTAAAACAATACTTGAAGACAAACTGCAGCTATGGTTGGCAAATCTTCTTGGACTCTCAGCAGATGGTGACTTGAAGTGAGGGAGCAGAGAAAGCAGGCAAATAGCTGACAGATTGGTTGAATTTCTTCTGTCTAGCTGTGTCTCTACAGGAGCACTAGAACTTGGAACTTTTCCAATTTTGTTTGTTTGTTTGTTTCTGACTTTCACTATTCATCTTTCCTTGCTGTTTTTGTTTGTACTTTTTTGAGCCTTTATTTGGTTCTTTTCTAAAATCTCATTAACTTTTTTTTTCATTGCTTTGCTTTCCATGTTCAACACTGGCTTCCTTATCCTTCTCCTCTAACCTCTATTTCAAACACGATGAGATTAAAAACAGAAAAGCAAAATTACAAATAAGGTTATTTTCTCCAAGTAAAGTGAAATAAGGAAATAGCAACAAAAAATCTGAAATCAGACTCAATTGCAAACAGCAAAGTGTTTGCAATTGTTATCTCTGCTTGTACTTATAGATGGAAATTACAGAGTTTAAAATACAGAGCTCTGCAATTGTACTTCTAATTGCAGTATTTTTAATTTTTTTTGTAAACAAAATGAAGTGAGAGTCTGTATTCTCCATTAGAAATTCAAAATGCTAAAAAATGTTATGATTAGTTCCCTAAATCATAAATCTCCCTTACTGAGCCTATGTCCCCTCTTCAGAGGTACCACATTCAGAAAGAGCTTCCAAATATTGTCACTGGGCAAGACTGAGCAAACTATTTCAGTTAAAGTCACCAAAAGATATTTCAGAGGACACTACTATATCAAGTATATTTCAGAAGACACTACTATATCAAGAGTCTCCTGCCAGGCCTCATGGGAAGGGGGGCGTTTCGGTCCATACTTCACGCCCTACCGAGGTCACCAGTTGCCCCCCACGAGCGGCTCTCCGGCACAGCCACGGTCCCAGAAGCACAAGGACTTAACGCAGAAAACCAGCCGTTTGGAGCAGAAAAGTGATTGGACTATGTGTTAAACCGCGCCATCATGCCTGCCCGGAGGGGAAAGGGTGTTGCTCCATTCACCCGCTCCTCTCTGGAAAGAAAGATGGCGGCCGCCAGGGAGCCTCGTGGACAGCAGGTTTGAGCCAGGGGTCGGGAGCGGCAGGGGCCTCATGGGAAGGGGGGCGTTTCAGTCCGTCCTTCACGCCCTACCGAGGTCACCAGTTGCCCCCCACGAGCGGCTCTCTGGCACGGCCACAACTCCAGAGCACAGAAACCAATCTCTTAACTATCTAACTTTTAATAGAAATACTTCCAGGGTTAATAAGTAAAATAGCAGAAATCCAAAACTATCGCGTGGCCACGCGACATCATTTAATTCTTAAAACCCAGCAGTAGAAAGCAAATCATTTCACAACGCTTTTTCAGCATGTCTGATTTGGGGGGGGAGGGGGTCGTAAACTCTAAATAATAATGGTGCATCTTTTATCGAAACAATGAATCTAGTCAAAGTAGATAGAGTGTTAACTAGAACTCATCTGCCTCACAGGAATTGGGAAGGGTAGGAGGTGGGGTTCTATTGGGGTTCGCGGTTAAATATAAGTATTGGTAAAGGGAAATGTGTTTGATATTTACATGACTGAGACCTAAACCTGAAAGCTCTGTAACTTTTCCCATAGTGATTCAATAAATAAATAAATTCTAAATAAATAAAAGTAGGTAAAGAGATACATATGATAAATTGCACTGTATTGCAAACCAGAATGCCCAAAAGGAAAGAGAGGGAGGGAAAGAGAGAGAGAGAGAGACAGAGACAGAGACAGAGAGAAGGAGAGAGAAAGGGGGAGAGAGAAAGTATCTTCCATAGAGGCAGATGGAGGGTTAGTGGGGTGAGTAGAAGGGAAACTGGGGACATTGGTGGTGGGAGGTATATACTTGTGAAAGGATGGGCGCTGGAACATTGTATAACTGAAACCCAATCATAAACAACTTTTTAACTGTATATATCACTCTGACTCAATAAAAATAAATAAAAAATAAAATAAAATGGAAAAGACACAAAAAAAGAAAGAAAAAAAATAAAGTGGAAGGCAACCAATCTTAGAAGGAAATATGTTTTTACAGATATACATATATATATGCACACAAGGCTCAACCTTTAACAACATATCAGTAATCTCTTATAGAAGGGCTTAATGGCTGCTGGGTGAAATACAACAATCTTCACACCCTCTCCTCTAAGGAAAGTTTTCTGGAGCATTTTCAGCTGTTTATTCATAACAAAACAATACTAAGTAAATTATTTTGTTTCTGCTTTGAGGAAGGGCTTGGGGTTCGGGATGGAAATATATGGTAGTGGGAAGGTGTAATGGTGGTGGTATTGGTATTTGAATATTAAATGTAACCAAATATTGTGAACTATCTTATAAAA